GGGGGCCTTCATCTGCTGGGCCGCATAGGTGGCAGATAGGAGGTCATCCAGCTCAGCCTCCACGTCATCCGTCCCACGGATTTTCTGGAGGAGCTTCCTAGCGTCCTCCGTGTCGTGTCCCCGCTGGATAAGGCTGTTGGGAGTCTCCGGGAGGAATAGGGTCCCGAGTATGAGGACAGAGGCAGGGACAACAGCCGTGGCCAAAGAAATCCGCCACCCGAGATCGCCGCCGATTTCTGAGGTGACGTAGTTGAGGATGAAGGCGCCCGTGCTCCCGACGCTGACAAAGCATTGGAAACCGAAGTTGAAGGCTCCTCTGTATTTCGAGGGAGCCATTTCCGATAGGTACAGCGGGACAGCCTGGTTGGCGAAACCGACCCCGACACCGAGCAGGAGACGTCCCATCATCAGCGTGTAGAGGTTTTCGGCGGCGCCGCCAATGGCGGCCCCGCTAAAAAACGCGATTCCACCGTAGATAATAGAACGCTTGCGGCCATACTCCATAGTTACGCGCGAAGCAAAGAAAGAGGCGATGAGGCCGGATACATAGATTGACGACGAAAACGCCGTCAAGAGCTGGCTGTCGAATTTGCAGTAGTTGCTGACTTGTGTATTGGAGTTCATGTTTGTGTAGACCTCAGGGAAGAATTTCTTGAGGAAGGCCTCCATTGAGGTTACTCCACCTACACCAAAAACAACACATCTTATAAGATTTTCGCATTTCGTCAAGACAAAACGATTTACTTTGAAACTAATTAACCAAAAAAAAAATTGAATAAAAATAAAAGTACCTGTAACTCCAGTATCATAGCCGAAGAGGAGTCCACCGGTGGCTGCGATAATACATGAAAGCATAACGGTGACTGTAACTTTGCCGTTGTAATGTACATTTTCAACACCACTGCTAATTGCTCCACCGATCGCCATTGATGATGATGATGATGCAAGTTTTTTCCCAAAATTTTGTCCTGTTTTTCAGAATTGCTCTTCTTAGTTTTTGCTGCTTTGGAAGAGAGTGAAATAAGACTTGAGAAGTTGAGAGTGATGAATTCAAATGGACCTATATATAGTTATTATTGTGAAATGAAGAGAATAAAATAAAATAAAGTGCCTAAAGGCTAAAGAAAACATGGAATCAAATTCAGCCGGCGCTTTGGGGGCCCAGGCGAAATTTCTCACGAATCAGCTTTGCATCTCGCTGTAGAGTGTTGTTGACCGCCTCTTTTAAGTTTATTTATTTTTTTAATATACAAAACCTTTATTGAAAATAGTTTAATCGATTTTGAACTCGTAAAAATGGAGCAACTATAAATTCAAATTCTGAAGGAGGAGAAATCAACTGAAAAATTTGGTCAGCCGGCTAGGTGGGTCTCAGTGGGCTATGGCTGTCAGGCAGCTAGGCGGCGCCTAGGCGGACTAGATGGTATTCTTTTGGTTTTTTTTAATACAAATTACATTATTTCGTTATCATGTTTTCTTTATAACATCTTGATATTGTTATTTGGAATTTTTATAGTCGAAACTGCAATTATATTTAAAACTATGAAATTCAAAAGAATACAAATGGGGGTGTCAATTGATAGTGTGACACCAAAAGAACTAGAAAAATTGGACCTACACCTTCAGAGCGGTGTCCAAGGAGTACAACCTGCATTAAGGAGACCAAAACCCACACCAAAACAAAACTCCATAAAATAAGACTAAAAACACCAGAATGGAGACTGAACGCTAGACGACGCTGGACTTAACAAAACAAAACTAAAAGCAAAGTAAAAAACAACACACACCTAATACACAAAGAGTAAAACCTCCCCAAATCCTAGCAGAAGAACCACGCAACCACCTAAACTGCCAATCGAGTCTCAAACCACAGCTAAGAAATCAGACTGAGCAACAAGGCTAGACTTCAAACCTAAAAATTGCGGTCTCCATTAGACGTCGTGTTGGGGAAAAGAGGGGGAGTCGCCAAAGACACCGAAGGGCTCGGGACAAGACTTCAGGGAGGCACCGCCCAAGGCTGCAAGCAGTGCAATATGTCAGCCCGGCGGCCTGGCCTGGCCGGACCGAGAGCATCAACAGCGGCGCGGACGAACAGAGTAAGGCAACCTCCAAGAAGCGGACGAAGAAACACACTTACCGACGAGCATCCTGCGGCGCAACTGACTTCCACGGTGGGGCGGGATATTTAGGTGTGTTGATTTATTATAGGGTAAGATACTTTTATTTTGTAGGTAGTGAAAATAAATAAAAAATTTAGGTATTTAATCTTAACTTCTAGACCCCGTCTAGGTGTTAGGCGCTGATCGAGCGCCTAGCATGCGATTAGCGATTTCTAAAACACTGATTTTTTCAACTCTTTTTCTATACATATTCAAATGCTTAGGGCGGTCACGGCTATAAAATAAGGTTTTCACAGATAATTTTTTTTTTTTTTTCACTTTTTCATACAAAATCCAACTCAAATTTAATCTAATCTAGTTTTCTTCAATAATATCAATATAATTAAAGAATTTTAATGAATCATTCTCATATATCACAACATCTTTACTTTACTATTCATCCATCTACATATTTTTAATTAACTACATATCATTTTCAATAAAGTATTCATTACTTTTACATCATATCAATTTTATTTATTATATTATTAGTATTATTATTGTACAAACTCAAAATGCCACCCAATCTTCCATTCAATCAATTTCATTTAAAATTAACTTATTTTAACCAATAAATTCAATCAAAACCAATTTTATTTATATTCAATGGCTCCCTTAGGGTGGAAATCGTTCCTTCTCAACCAGTATACAATCTACAAAAATATCGAT